AGAGGCTCTTGCGACTGAAGGAGTTAGAAATGGAAGGGAGGTGGTCTTTAGTCACAGAGCTTCAATTTTGAGTGGGAGGAGAATCTGGGGAAGGGGAGGGTCCTGTCAGACAAAAATTCCTCGCAGGGGTCTGGGTGGCCACGGCCTATCGAAGAACTGGAATAAAAGGGAAGTTCAGAGTCAAAGTCCTTGAGAAACCATTTCCTCATGAATGAGAGGCCGGTATGTAAATAAGGGCTTTGCATAAGCCAGACATTCTTTCAAGTCCAGTTTATCTGCAGTGTGAGTCATTTCCTCTCTAAAGCAAGAATTAAAAGAGATCAAGGCCCATATGCATTACACAGCACATACCTTCCTCATAGACCTGCCCAAAGACAGCCAGCCAGCCGGCTAGGCTCTTCCTTTGACAAAACAGCCAAGGAGAACTGGATGGAGAGCCGAGGACAGATTAGGAGCTAGAAATAGAGGGGAAACTTCAGGTACAGTTGGCGTGAGCCATAAAGGAATGTGAAAAGCAAGAACCTCTTGAGCAACTCAGGGCAGGTTTATGTGTTCCTGGGGAACCTCAAGCCCATGCTCTCTGGAAAGCAACAAGAGAGTTGGTAACGGAAAAAAGAAACAAGCCACAGGTTCTTCTACAGAGAAGGGCTTTGCTCAGGGACTTGGCCTTCTAGTTCAACAAAAATACAGTAGTATTCTAGGATGGTATTCCCCAGTACACACACATACACACCAACCAAGTAAGGAACCAGTTCCTCCCAATGCCTTCTGTAGGTCTTGCCTGGACCCCACAACACACTTGGGAGGTTTGATCCATTTTCCAAAGTGAAAAATTGAATGTGAAGAGTGACATGGGGGAGAAAGAAAACAAGTAGGTAGAAATGGAAGCATTCCCACTCCTCTGGGAGCCCCCAGACCCCTAGGACCCCCAGACCCAATGCATCCACCCTTGCACACTAGAGATGGATGAATGTCCATGGGATGCCAGTTTGCATAACCAAGAGTTAAAGGAATAGAAGCATGTGTACTGCTTACAGCAGGCAGAGAGGATACTGGAGTTGATTTGCAGAGTGGTACTGTGTTGCCTTTTGACACACTCCCCTATCCCATGTATTTTGAGACAGGATCTCATGATATAGCCAGGCTGTACTTGAACTCAAGATCCTCAGGCCTTGGACTCCTAAAAACTGGAAACATCAGTGTGTGTCACTATATTCAGCTTGCAATTTCTTCTTGAACAAAGGACATAGGAGCTTTCCTTGGGAAGTGCATACGTGCTAATATACAGAAGTCTGGTTATCACTTGTGAAGTGGGCACTTTCCTAAGCATGACCATTTAGGGTCATAACCATATGCCCCTTTCCCTCCTAAGAAAAGATGGATGGCTGGTACAAACAACCCTGGACAGAGACTTCAGCATAATAAGGAGTGAAGTTTCTGTAGGGTGGCTAAAACAATTGAGGGAAAGGTGACTTTGTGACACTGGTTGGTTTCTTGTAAGTTTCTCCAAAGAGCCTTTCCTGAAAACCAAAGAAAACTTTAGGGCCGGTGAGGTGTGTCGGCTGATAAGAGTCTTTACCTAACATGCACAAAGTCCTGGTTTATGCAACAAAACTACATAAAACCATGAGTGGTAGCACTTGCCTATAATCTATAGCACTCAGCAAATAGAGACAGGAGAATCAGAATCAGAAGTTCAAGGTCATCGCCACCTACCTAAGTAAGGACTTTGTAGCTTGGGCTACAAGAGATCCTGTCTCCAAAAGAAAATGGAAAGAAACATAGAGGAAAGGAAAAAAGAGGGAGTGACTTGAAAACACACTGCTAGCCAGTCATTTAAGGGACTGGTAGCTGTCCTCCTTTGCAAATAGAGCTTGTCCCTAAAAGTCTCCATCCAGACTCCAGACTCCAGCAATGTCTTGCTTAGCGTGTGCTAGACACCGAGCTTACAGGAACAAGCAAAGTAAGTCAATGTTTTATCTGTCCCCCTGGAGCTGTGGTCCAGTGGAAGAGACTTGCAAGGTGGCCAGTGATTCAGGCAAAGGGCTAGTGCTGTAATTGGAGGGTGGGAGTCAGGAGCAGGTTGTCATTCAAAGTTGGAGGAGGGGAGCAAGAATTGGTCTTCTCAGAGGAACTGATGTCCAAGATCCATACCACAGAATGGGAACAAAAGGGAAGACCACAAAGGAGAGTGGAGTAGAGAGGAAGCAGAAATTCTTCAACCCTTCTCATGAAATGAAGGGACCAGCTCCCCATTTTGGCAGCCATAACAGCCAGACACGTGCTTTTCTGACCTTGCCTTGGTCACTAGAAGTTAGGTGCCTGTCTCGTGGCAAGGAACCAATCAGAAGTTAGCTGGTGGTGGAATGCTTTACGGCTCTGGGTATGCTTTATGGACAAGCACACGGCAATGATGCACAGAGCATAGCAACCACCCTGGAAGGGCCCATGGGCCATAACAACCAGTTGACCAATCAACACAGGGCAAACCCTCCAAGCCTGGAGGCACACCAATCCTGAGCCTGTGCATGCCCCTAGACACTCCCCTTACGCTGCCCTATAAGATCTCTATGCAGCCACTTTGACCTGTCTTTGCTAACCATCCGCCATGGCGGGTGGGTGAAAGACCTGAGCTAACATGGGGTTAGCTCGTTAAATGACAATAAAGCCTCATGCTGTTTGCAGCAAGCTTTCGAGTCCGCCTGGTGATTGGGGTGACCTAGGTCGTGGGCTGACCCCGGAGGCCTGAGTTTTCCAGGTGTCTAACAGAAAGGAATAAAACTACTACTAGGAAGAACACGGTGCCTTTCCCATTTCTTGTAATGTGTCACCAGAAAAACTGGTGACACAGTAAATTCTGTAAATGGGAACATCCCCACTTTGCTTTTCAGGTAATTTGTGAACCTAAAGTAGACAGCATTTTGTGATGAGATTCTGAGTATTGGGAAGACGCTCTGTTCCTAAAAGTCGTCTTCACCCATTTGCCATGTTGTAAATGTACCAGGAAGACTCCATGTGTGAGTATCCCCTGCAAAAGACATCAACCTGAATCCACATGCATAAGAACAGCTGAAAGAAATATAAAGATGAGCCCGAGAACACAAGAAAAGAGTTATGAAAACCTTTAACAGCCATGCTTACTGAAGGCTAATCCTGCACCATTTTTTTAAACTAATTCTTTGTGAGCTCTAGATCAGTTATTTCAAGATATTAAGTCCTCCTGACAGTTCAACATGATGAGTGACTTATCTGAGATCCACTGACCAGCCTTCCTCAGATCTCGTGAAGGTGGAGAACAGTGAGTATTTCTTGGCTAATAGAAAAAAACAGCCTAACCTCTGGAGTGAGTTTTTACAGACCTCTCCCTCCATTTATTCAGCTACAAACACATATGGCTGCTATAATTTTTTTCCAACTGACAGTTATAAAAAAAAAACTAAATAAATAATGTCCCATCAATTTTCTTGTTCTAAGAGCTTTCCACTTCTGAATAGATCAAAGCTGCATAAGAATCGTTCAGTAAAGGACTGTGTAAACACTGCTTGTTTAAAAGGATCCAGGCTCCCGATAACATCAAACAACACCCTAGCATCCAGATAAGCAGCCAGCAGAGAGGTTGGACAATTGCCTGTTATCAATTGGTTGCATGGCGTATCTACTCTGAAGACCAGGAGGACACGGAAGCCTGAGGTAGGTGTGCTGGAAACCGGCTTCTGTGATCTCACACCCAGATTTGTTTTTTTTTCTTGAAGACATTGTATTAAGAGCAAAGGTTTTTCATATCATTTGTTTAGGATTCCTTAGTAGTCTAAAGAGAAACAAAAAATATCTTTAAGGAACTTCTGACAAACATCAAAGGCATTGCAGTGAGGAGGGCTGGAGAGACGGAGGGCTCAGTGGTTAAGAGCACTGGCTGCTCTTCCGGACGACTGTGGATCCATTCCAGCACCCATTTGGCAGCTCACAATTGCTTGTAGCTCTAGTTCTAGGGGATCCTGAAAAGTTTCTACACCCAGATAAGCCTCTCCTCGGATGCAGCCATCCAAATCAGACCAAATCAAACCGAATTAGAAAAAGCCTATGTTTAATGGACACAGTGCTCCCGGATGGCTTCTCAGACCTCCAGAGAGGAGACTGGAAAGGGAGACCTGAAAACCCCAAATGTCTGTTCTCTTAGGTACAGTTTAAATACCCTGTGATAGCATCTATGGGGGAGCATCTCTGGGGGAGGGGTCATCATTTGAAGGGCTTTCTGAGATGCAGCAGGGTTTGGAGAGAGCTAGGGAAGGGGGCTTGGGTAGAACTTCAACCATAACAGATTCAACATCCTCATCTGGCCTTCAAGGGCACTAGGCATGTATATGGTGCACAGACATACATGCAGGCAAAACATGCATAAACATAAAATACATTTTTAATTAAAAAAAATACACAGTATGGTGGGGGCTGGTAAGATGGGTCACCTGGTAAAGAGGTCTGAAGTCCTGAATTGGATCCTCAGAACCCACACCATGGAGGAAAGAACCAACTCCTAAAAGTTGTTCTAAGCTCTTCACTCTAGCCATGAAACCCATGCACCCACATACATGTACCCACAGACAAATGGATAAATGTTTTTCTTTTAGTTTTCGTATAGATAGGTTTGTAAATCTGGGCTTGCATGTTTGGCTATTTTAAATTGTTATAAATTATAATTCAGGTGGCTGTAAATATAATACAATATGAGAAACACTAACAGAAAAGATATCAGTCAGTTTCATACTGATCAGTAAAATCGCGTTTTAAATTTTTTGGCCTTAATTCTGACCCACTATTCTTTGAGCAACTCTTCTAGGTAAGTTTTCCCAGAGATCACTGTGCTAAAGGCCTAACTAGTCCTTAGTTTGGCACTTGAAAGGGCAGTGGAAACCTCTAGGGGGTGGGGCCTAAGGGAAGAGTCATTGGGGGAGTGTCGGTGAAGTGTCTGTTTGTCTATCTCTCTCTTTGCTTTCTGGATGCCACCATCACAGTGACAGTAAAGGCCCATAAAGAAAACTATTTCCTTCTGGTCAAGAGAAAGAAATCTCTGATTTGGGTGGAGACTGTTATAACATTCCAGTTGATCAGGTCAGTAACATGACTAAGGGACCACCCTTCAGGAGAATGAGGTCATCCTGAGGAAGGATGGATCACCTTAAGCCATGCTAATGGGGAAGGAGCACTATGTGGGTCTTTAATGAGGTAATGTACAGTCTCTTCCCAGAATGCCTTTCTCCAGTGCATTCCTGCAAGCTCACGTGAAGTCCTGAGTCAGAGTTTAGCTTGTCCTTTTTATTATTTTCTGTCTCTCTCTTTAAGATGCTTTTTTCTGGTATTTTAGGCTCCTTGATCTTTCTCTGAAGCTCCCCTTCTGGCCACATTGCTGACCTCCATGCCAGCTTGACTCAAAAGACATGGGTGTTTTTCTTTTTCTTACCCACTCTCCTCTTCTGGGCAGCTACCAGCATTTACAGTTTCCCTACCCTGGGTGTTTTTCTTTTAAACTCTAATTATCCTTAAGCTTCTATTTGAGTCTGTTCTTACATTCTTTTATTAATGAGATTAAGGACCCTAACAGGAGACCCTGATTTTCCCAGTATTATATGATAGCACCACTGGGACTCCCCAAAATTTCTGGTAACGCCAAGAAGCAAGAAGTTCCCTCAACCATATGTTTCTGACACTGCTGTGCTATCACAATCATGGGTCCAAAAGCAACAAAGCCAGTCAATAGTAGAGCAAAACCACCAGCCAAAAGGAACTTTTTGTTTATATTTTTTGTTTATTTACCTCAGATATTTGTTATAGTAACAGAAAGTTGACTAACATAATGAGCAAATAAGATGTCTCTCTTGATCTTGAATTTTTAAAATAGATTTATTTTTATGTGATGTGTGTGTTTGCATGCATGCATGCATGTATATGTGTGCGTGTTCGAATGTGAATGTACATAGGTACCCGTAGAGTCTAAAAGAGAGTGTCAGACCCCCTGGATATGGAGTTACAGTAGGCTGTGAGTCATGTAACATGGTGCTAGGAATTGAACTTGGATCCTCTGGAGGAACAGGAAGCACTCTTGACTGCTGAGCCATCTCTCAGACCCAATATTTGATTTCTAACATTTTTACTATTAGTGTAGATGAGTGTGCATGATTAGGGTGTGGTATGTGTGCTGTGGCACTTTTGTAGATGTCAAGGGACATTTTCTGGAGTCACTTCTGTCTTTCTGTCTTTATGTGGTTTCCAGAGATGAAACTGAGGTCATCAAACATGCATGGCATGTTCCCTTTACTCACTGGGCCATCTTGCTGGCCCAATCTTGGATTTTTAATATATTAACTTGGCATTTTAAGGGTTCTGTCTTCTACCACACAGGCCAATGTTTCATCTGAGAAAGAGCCTGCTGATGAAATCATTATAGTCATGGAAAGAGTTTTCAGACAAGGCAATGCTACATACATTTGTGAACCAGTAGATGTGGGGAACAGGAAGTGATGAGTACCACCTTCAAGTGCAAACCCCGCCTGCCCTCAGCAGCATCACTGTCTACTTCCCTCAACAAAAGAAAAGGAAAACTCCTGCTGATGGTCCCTGACCACATAACTAAACTATTGGACAGTTTTCTGAAGAGATTCAATCCATCTATGTTTATAAAGATCATTTGCATTGTTAATCTGATTTTAAATACTCTAGTTTGAAATATGGAAACACTGAGGTCATCATTTGGAAGTCTTCTGTCATGAGTTTTATGTGCAACTTCAAGGTCAAAATAATATAAGAATGGTAAGAAACTTGCTTGGTTTGTAAGTCATAAGGCCCTGGGTTCAAACCCAGTGCCACCATAAGAGAGAGAGAGGAGGATGAGAAAGGAGGGGAGGGAGGGAGGGAAGGAGGGAGGAAGAAAGGAAATTATTGAGTAGCAGTGCATAAAAACCCTTGATTGTTGTGAATAAATTTCATGCTAACTTCCTTTAAGAAAAGGGACAGGTTGGCACATTAACTTGCACCAGAAATGAGTTTTTATTAGTTGTTTACAAATGTTTTTTAGTACATAGATGGGATTATACATGAGGCCTTCACAGAAATAAATGGCAAAATCATGAATCCACCCATCAGCCTTCAGAGAAAAGTTAATGGAAGAAATCATTGCAGGTGATAAAAGATTGCATTTCATTATTGAGGAATGACAGCTACAAACACAGCAGGTATGAATGCAGAATGTCACCTTAGCTTACACTCAACCTATTGATGGGAGGCAGCAGTAGTCTAGCTGGTCAAAGGGCAACTGAGGATGTGGGTATTTACAGATATTTGTAAAGGAAAATGTGTGAAGAATATTACTTAGGTCAAATGCAGACTGGTGGGCTTGGGGCCTAGCTCAGCACTGAAGGGGGTATTGACAGAAGAAGTTTCTTATCTCATTTGACAATTCCCAAATAACCACTCAGAGTTTTAATATTAATTGTAAATGCTCGGCCAATAGCTTAGACTTGTTACTACCTAACTCTTACATTTAAATTAACCCATGTTTCTTATCTATGCTTTGCCAACTGACTTGGAACTTTTTCTCAGTATGGTATGTCTATCTTGTTTCTCCCTGAATCTTATGCTCAAGTCTCCAGACTCCGCCCTTCTTCCCAGAATTCTCCTAGTCTGGCTCTCCTGCCCAATCCCTACCTGCCCAGCTATCATCCACTCAGCTTTTTATTAACAATGAGATCAACACATTTTCCCACTATACAGAAGGATTATTCCACAGCAAGGAGGCACTAAGCATAGATCTTGAGTGTTATCTGAATCACCAAAAGCTAAACCAACTGGCCAATATCCTACAGGGCAATGAAACCATAATCTTTAAGACCATCTTTCCTTTGGCTTTGTTTTATTGTTGGTTTTTTGTTTTTTTTTTCACTGTTGTTTGTTTGTTTTTTTCAAGATAGGGTCTCACTGTGTAGCCCTGGCTGTCCTGGAACTCACTCTGTAGGAGAAATGTAGAGGCAAAGACAGGTGGATCTCTGTGAGTTCGAGGTCAGTCTGCCTGGTCTACAAAGAGTTCCAGAACTGTTACACAGAGAGGCCCCATCTTGAAAAGCAAAATCTAATTAATTGATTAATTAATTTAGTTAAAATTTTAAAAATGAGATTTGGGTATTACACAGCAGAGGAGCAGTTACTGACGTCATGGCTGACACTGGGAATGCAGCAGCAATCCTTAACTGAGTTTCTTCTCACTGCTGACTTGAAAGATATTTGTCTCCACCTGGGAGCCCCTATGCCTGTCTCTTTGTTGTTTCCCTGTACTATGGAAGAGACTGAGGATTCTGGCAAAGCTATCTAGCTCTTTCCTCTCCGCCATCACACAAGTTGCTTTCCTGTTTGTATGGCATACCACACTCTACCAGTAACACCCAGCAGGCTACACCTGAGCAAAGAATGTTCTTTTCAGCACTTACATTTTGTTCCTTTCCAATCAATAACCCTTCTACACAACCACTCTCTTATCATTGGAAAGTCAATGCTATAGTCTCCCAGCAAATGACTCTACCTGCAACTAACTCCCACCATTGTCCTCTGGGCCTCCACACATGTGCTACACACAACAGACATGTGTACATAAAATAAATGTGATTTTGAAACCCTGGAATTAAATAAACAATACCCTGGTTTCTATTTCAGATCATACACAATTGTTTGCCTTCTAAAAAGAACCAACAAGTAATTGGGGCTAGCGATTGGTGGGATATGTTGGGTTTTTAGTGTTTTGATCCCGGGCACTGCCTGCAGTACATATTCAACCCACTCAAGAATGAGTCCTTGAGGACCAAACAAAAAAAAAAAAAAAATAGGCCTAGCTTGTAAATGTCTCATTAGCCTGCACTGGGCTTGCTGCCCAACCCTGATTGGGTTCCCAGTGACCTCTTTTCAGGCTTGAGGCCAGAACTTATTTTTGTTAGATCTGGAAGCAATGTATTCGGTTCCCACAAATGCCATAGTGTTATGAAAACTGCAGGTTGGACAGTGGCAGTGTCTAAAAGAGGTGTAAGAGGAGAAATCGGGAGGAAAGAGAAAGACAAAGACACTTAATGAGGTGGAGAGCTTGTCTCCCTCTTTCAGAGCAATCCAATTTTGAACAACCAGTCTCTCAAGCTAAATTCCCACACCAGCTTGATATAATTAGCAGCCAGTCTCCAAGGGAAAACCTCCAACATAGCAAGCCTCAGGGGGACAGAATGGAGACACAGAAGGCCATTTACTGATCACTGATGTGTTCCTGACCCTACACCAGTTGTCAGCTAATTTATCCTTCAGAAAAGTCCATGAGGAATGATGGGAAAAGAGAAGCAGTCTCACCTTAACTGAATGGACAAAGCCAGGTTATGCATAGAACTTGGGAAGCCAATGATAGTGACAGAATTGATTATGTTATTTGAATAAAACTGCACTTGGTGCTACCCTTGCACGTGACTTCCATTTCTGGTTCATTGAGAAGGACAGTATTTTACCACCAAATGAGTTGGCATTCTTGAGGATGATGTGGTGATTTGAAAGAAAATGACCTCCAAAGGGAGTGGCACTATTAGGAGGTATGGCCTTGTTGGAGTAGGTGTGGTCTTGTTGGAGGAAATGTGTCATTGTGGATGCGGGCTTTGAGGTCTCATATATGCTCAAGCTGTGTCCAGTGAGACAGTTCACTTCCTGTTGCCTTTTATCAAGATGTAGGACTCTTAGCACCTTCTCCAGCACCTTATCTGTCTGCATGCCACCATGCTTCCTGCCATGATAACAATGGACTAAACCTCTGAACTGTAAGCCACCACAATTAAATGTTTTCCTTTATAAGAGTCACTGTGGTCATGGTGTCTCTTCATGGCAAAGAAACCCTAACTAACTAAGACAGAAGTACAACAGTGTTCCCAGTTACCTAGACAGATGTCTGCATAGACAGTTATGGCTCATGGAAGAATTCCTCACTCTCCATACTCTGTCAGACTTGGGGTGAATATCAGAGGCCAGCCTTCTGGCCACATTCATGATTACCTCACCCTCCAGAGAAAGGTTGACAGAATTTATTGGTTATTTTTCTCATGGCCTAACAATGCAACTCAAGGAAGGAAGGGTTGGCTTGGGCTCACAGCTTGAGAGCACAGTCCACCATGGTGGGGAAAGCATGTTGCCAGGAGCCTAAGGCAGCTGGTCACACTGCATCTGCAGTCAGGAAGCCTACAGGCGAGTGCTATGGCTTGGCTTGCTCTGCTTTGAGTCACTGGAAGATTCCAGCTCTTTCAAGGTGGGTCTTATGTCCCCAGTCAAACCTTTCTGGAAATACAATTGCAGATACATCTAAATGTATATTTCTACAGAGCTTCTAAATCCAGTCAAAATGACAATGAAGATTAGCCCTTGTGCTGGGCTGGCCAGTCAGCCATAATGAGTGTCATAGTTAGGGTTACTATCAGTGTAATGAAACACCATGACCAAAACAAGTTGGGTGGGGGGGGGGGGGGGGGTAAAGGGTTTATTTGGCTTATACTTCCATATTGCTGGTCATCATTGAAGGAAGTCGAGCAGGGCAGGAATCTGGAGGCAGGAGCAGATGCAGAGACCACAGAGGAGTGCTGCTTACTGCCTTGCTCCTCATGGCTTGCTCATCCTGCTTTCTTATAGAACCCAGGACCATCAGCCCGGGAATGACACCACCAACCATGGGCTGGGCCCTCCCCTATCAATCACTAATTAAACAAATGTCCTGCAAGCTTGCCGATAGCCCAATCTTAAGGAGGTATTTTCTCAATTGAGGCTCCCCTCTTCATTGACTCTAACTTGTATCAAGTTGACACAGAACTAGCCAGGGCAATCAGCCTACAGAAACTAACTTGGGGGCTTCAAATATGTTCCTCTGGCATATTCAAGTTGGCTATTCCAACAGACTATGACAAAATCAACTCCCAAAGGCTGCCCATTTGCAGAAGCAAGTCTCATTATTCATGTTAGTGACTGAATAAACACCAGGTGTAAGGACACATTTCTAACTGAAAACACTCACTCTTTCCACCTAGGAAAGATCCTTGCACAGAAAGAAGAGGCTGGGAGCTTTTGACAGTTGGCTCAGAGATTTCCACAGGTGGCTGTTACTCGGGAGATTATCTGTGTGAGAAAATGGCCCTAGTTCAGTGTGCACCTCTGCCAGCTGCTTTCCCAGCCTGCTGCAGGCTGTTACACTCAGAAACCTAAGCTTTTGTTCATTCACTTAGCTCCCTGTAAGCCTCATCTGTCTAGAACTCCTTAAAGGTGTGTGTGTGTGTGTGTGTGTGTGTGTGTGTGTGTGTGTGTGTGTGTGTGTATGTGTGTGTGTATGTGTGTATATGGTTTGTGTATGTGTGGTATGTATATGTGTGTGGTGTGTGTGTATGGTTTCTCTGTGTGTGCATGTATGCATGGTGTCCTATGGGTAGGCATGATAATAAAAGATAAATTTCTTTCTTATTCCCCTCTCTCTTGTCAATCTGTCTATTATTGCCAGCTGTTTCACACTAAATTATCACAGGGCAAAGGATAAACTAAAAACATCCCTATAGAAACCATCCTTGCTGGAAGAAAAATACCCTGCATACAACAGGACACCCAGAGTCATGGGTGGTTTGAAGGAAGGAAGGAAGGAAGGAAGGAAGGAAGGAAGGAAGGAAGGGAATGAGGGAGGGAGGAAGGGA